TTCGGTTTCGGGTTCGTGTCGTGCGTGCCGTGCGTGCGTGCGGGCGAGGCGAAGCTGCGTGGGCGGGCGAAAGGAAATCCTCCTGTGGCTGGGCCGCGGCCGGACCAAATGTTTCTCCTCCAGCGGCCGGTGGCCCGCGGTGTCCCGCCGGTGTCCCGCTGGTGTCCCGAAATCCTCCTGTGGCTGGGCCGCGGACGGACCAAATGATTCTCCTCCGGCGGCCGGTGGCCCGCGGTGTCCCGCCGGTGTCCCGTGGTGTCTTGTGGTGGCCCGTGGTGTCCCGTTGAGTGAGATCGATAGTGAGATCGACAGTGAGATCGATACCGAGATCGATTTGGTGCCCCGAGGTGTCCCGTGGTGTCCCGTTGAGTGAGATCGAGAGTGAGATCGATAGTGAGATCGACAGGTGTCCCGTGGTGTCCCGTTGAGTGAGATCGATAGTGAGATCGATAGTGAGACCGATCGTGAGATCGAGGAGTGTCCCGCGGTGTCTCGTGGTGTCCCGTGGCCCGTTGAGAGATATCGATAGTGAGATCGACAATGGTCCCGTGGTGTCCCGTGGTGTCCCGTGGTGTGCCGTGGTGTCCCGTTGAGTGAGATCGATAGAGAGATCGATTTAATCAGATGTTGGTTCCCCCCCTCTCCCCCCCCAACCTTCTCATTACCCGAACGGTGGTCGTGTATATGTATATATATATATACATACAGATGTAATGGCTCAAGCGGGGTCCGAGAGCGCTGGGGATCCGTCCGCGCGATCTTTGATTTTCCCTTTTTTCATGGGCTTCGTTGTCTCTGTGGTGTTGATTCAGAAACCCTCCGCGTTAGACAAGCGTGCCGCGCATGCGTAGGTACGGTTGGAATTCGCAGCTGCGCTACAACATGGGGAGAGATTGCATGCTCAGACTTATGATGGCACTTTCGCTTCATTGCGATATCATGAGGCGGTAATGGTCGCTCCCAGCTGCCATCGCCAGCATGGGCTCGCTCGCATCGTGCCGTAGCTGACTGAGATCGGCAGCAGCACAGCTCGGCCAACGGGACGTGGCCGCACGGGCTCATCCTTTTTTTTTGTTTCGCTTTTGTCGGGGTTGGAGCGGCCTGCGGGCCAATCCGCCATTGGATTGGTTGGCGCTGCCAACGCCCAGTGCACTTCTTACGGCAAGTCTCATTTGCGTATGCAGTGGTGCCTCTGATGCTCGAAACATCTGGTTTTGCCACTGTCTTCTGCCAAATCCCAGAACATGCTCACCGCTGTCAGGCTGGCATCAGTGGAATCAATTTTCAGCGCTCTCAGCTTTCGACACGGGCCCTGGGAGACCGCGGGAGGCCGCGGCGGGGGGGGGGCGCCTGCCGGACTCGGAGGCAGCGGGAGGCCGCGGGAGGAGGCTGGATGAGAGGAGGAGGGACGGAGGGAGGGACGGAGGGAGAGAGGGGGAGGGCGGGGCGGGAGTGAAGGAGAGGCAAGACGAGGGGGCAAGGACGAGAGATGAGGGAGGGCAGAAGAGCGGAGGGAGCAGGGAGCAGGGATGGAGGGAAGACGCGGGGAGGGAGGGAGGAGTCGTGACCAGAAGAGGACAAGTGCTGGGACAGGAGGGCAAAGGCACGACCGACCAGGGATACCGTGAAAGATAAGGAGGGTAAGAAGAAAGCAGAGGAGGGCGACGACGATGAGATCGATGGCCAGGAAGGAAAAAAGGTGGAACAACATCGGGAGCGAAGCGCGGAAGCGGGAAGAAGGCAGGACGGGGACGTCAGCGAGAGCAGGACGAGGACGAGGACGAGGAGGGCAGGACGGGGGCGAGGAAGGCAGGACGAGGACACGAGGGCGGTGATGATTCCCCTCGACGGGCCTCTGGGACGCTCTGGACCTCGCTGCAGGAGCCTCAACGCGCGTCCCTCCCGCTGCGCTCGCTGCCTGGTCGCCTCCGCCTCCGAGCGCGCGCGCGGGAGCGCAGCTGGTGGCGGAGCAGCTGGTTGTGCATGTCGGGAGCTGCGTCAGTGACGGACTGTCCAGGGGTGGCGTTACTCCTCTGGTGGTGCCGCCCAATGAGAAAAATAATACGAATGCGAAGAAGAAACATGATACGAATAGTAATAATACGAATAGTACGAATACGAATAGTACTAATAATCGTATAGGTATTCATAAAGACAATCATACTATTAATCATAAGGGCACTTACAATGATACTAATACTACGAATGCTCATAATAAGAAGCAACCGCGCCATGACCGCGCATCAACAACAATCGAACCTACATGGAGCACACGTGTGGTACCGTGCGGGGACAGGGCCCCGAAAACGCCGAACAGTGCTTCACGGTTCGGGTAACATGTGCTGGCACGGGGCAAAAAGCAAGCAAACATACACTGGCCTGACAAACAAACAACCGATCGATTCAACAATTAGCACATTGCTTGCGTTTTGGCCTTGCCAGGATCCGTCTGATTGCTTTTGGCACCCTGCCCACCCCACAAGGGGGGAACCACCGTGGGGAGCCGCGCGCATCCCTGGGCTTCCCTCGCCGAGCTGCTCGACGAGGCTCGGAGGGCGAGTGCGCGTGCAGCAGTGCAACGCCACCCTGGGCGATGCACTCCGGCTGCAGCCTCTGACCAAAGCTTGGGCATGGCCCGCCTGGGGCGGCTGGCGCGCGGGCGGGGGCGCGCAGGGCCCTCGCTGAAGGCGGCTGGCGCTGGCGCGGGATCGCAGGAGCCCGCGAGCGGCCTGGCCAGGTCGACGTCGCGCAGCACCGGCGGACTGCCTGCCGCGAGAGCCCGCGCCCGGCGGGGTCCGGGCGTCGGGAGGCGCACGCCAGCGAGGCGCGCCGCGGAGGCCGGAGGCGCGGCCCTCCCGCCGCCCGCTGCGACGTGCTGCCGCCACCCGCGGACGGCAGCGCAGCCGATGTCCTCGAGGCTGCGCGGAGCGGGCGATCGCAGAGAGGGCGTCAGACTGGGTTGCGCTGCGCGTCCACGAAGTGCCGCCCTTCGCCGGGCCCACGCGGCGCGTAGAACGTCTTGAAGCTGGCCTTCGTCGTTCTTCGCTTCGGAGCCAGGAGCGCCATCGTCGCCACGAAGGCATTCTTCGTGCGCCACTCGGGGCAAATTGCATCCAAGTCCCCGTCCTCCAGCTCCCAATGGGAGGCGTCCACCGTGGGCGGTGGCCACACATACCAACACCTCGGCTCTCGTGCGTGTCGGACCATTTGCTCAAGCGTCTTCGTGTCGAGCCTCCGCAGCGTGTCCGCAAGCTCGTCGGTCACCTCGCGCATCGGCCACCTGATCAGCCACTCCTCCGCGCTCCCCAACAGCGCCTGGAACGGCAGCTCGTAGTCATCGTTCAGCAAGACGGGCACGCAACCTCCGAACAATACTCGGAACATGCGGCTCGACCACGCGCTCTTGCCGCGCGGCACGAAACAGAACCTGGAGTTCACGCTGCCCTCTAGCGCCTCGGCGTATGGGACGTCCTGGCGAATGTGCATGTCGGGAAAGCGAGCGGCCCACTTCAGCAGCCGCTGTCTCGGACTCTCAGCAGTCCCCTGCGAATGATGCAATGGCCGATTCCACCCGACGAAATCGCCCACGTAAGCTCGCATGCCCATGGGAACAGCATTCTCATGATGCTGCTTGATTTCCCTGATGGACAGGCGGCCCGGCAAGACGATGTCTTTTGCAGCATTGTAATTGCTCCGAATCTGCCATTTGTATGGGTTCCAGAATTCTGTCTCTGTCATCAAAAATATTGAGCGCTGTATGTAGCTCCTCCAATTCTGGAACGGCCCGTCTACAGCGAATCCCGCGCCCCAAACGAATACGTGGTCCCGGCCATCCGAACGCTTGAAGTGCTTCAGTTTGGGAATGAGCGACTCGAACAGAGCATTACTCTCTTCCTCTGAAAACGTCTTCAGATTCAAATGGCACGCGGTGTACTGCGGCACGAAAAAGAAATCAGCCTCTGTTGGGTCGTCAGTGCGGCAATCGCACGCCAGAAAATACAGGTGTAGCAACACCTCGAACCCCCACTGGTTGTCCTTGCAGAATGCGAGACCAGACGCTAGAACTCCGAGCTCCTCGTAACTCGCCGAACCCTTAGGGTGTCCTCGTCGTGTGAGTTGCCCCCCCTCATCAAACCTAAAGGTCTCCCAGAGGGGGTGCGAATAGATGGGGTCAGAGGATCGCGCCGCATAGCCAATGCGTCGGTAATGCATCAGCAATACGTCGGCGATACATCGGCGACGTCGACGGTGCATCGGCGACGCCGGCGCGGAGAAAATGGGGCTCCGCATCGAGCCGCATCGGCGAAGCACCGACGATGTGGCGCGATCCTCCGACCTCATCCACTCGGACCCCCTTTGGGAGGCCTGGGCAATCGCCTCCGCTGGGAGCCGGAGCCCGGTCCAGCGGTTCGGCGGGGGGGTTCGAGCCCACGGGCCCGACGACCTCACCTGCGGTCTTGCTGGCAAAACTGCGATGGGCAGTCCGACTTCCTGCAAGGCCGGGTGGAAGCGCCTATCGAACTCATTGCGACCCAGGCGGCAGGGCAGGGCGAGGAGGCAGAGGAGTAGGCGCCACCGTGCCACGAGGCACTGGGTCGAGCGTTCCCAGGCATCTGCGGTCTGGGCGGGCTCCTCTGCGCCACCTGCGCTTCCAGACGCGCCAAAACTGCTCCAAGTGGCTCCTAAACGGGCCTCCGAGTCGGCCCAGGGGCCGCAGAACGATTCCAGCTGGCCTCCTCTCGACGGCAAATCTTGGGGGGGGAAGTGGGAGGGGGCGGGCCTTCTCAGAAGGCGGTGGGGCATCTTAGAAGCCCTGGGGCCTTGTGAGAAGAAGTCGCTGCCTTCGGAGAGCGATGGGACAACTTCTCAAAAGGCCGGAGGACTTCTGAGCCTTCTGGGAAGGCACGCCCCCTCTGCATTTCCCCCTGGCCTCGCCGCCGATCCGACAGGCAGCGCAGCAAGCTCACACAACGTCCCAAACGCCTCCAAGAGAACCTTCA